CTGGGATCTGGACTGAAGAAAGCAGTAAGGCACTCTGCATTCTTTGTTACCAAGCTCTGGGTGTCTGGACAACAGGGGCAGGCGCTAGCAGCCTTTTATTCAGAGGGGCTGAGAGTAAAGCCCTGGAATCCAGCCGCTGCCAGACAAGAGGGTTGCTTTGCTTCTGTCTGTCCTGGGAGCTGAGTGAAACCAGTACACTGAGGAGGTGGGCATATGAGGTCCAACAAGGGCTAGCTGCTGTGTTGTGCCTTGCTATCCTGGGGCTCCTAGAACAAACTCAGGTTCGGTGTCTGAAAACAAGGGCTGGGATATGGTTCAGGTGCAAAAAGTGCTTCTCTTGCAAGCACGAGGACCTGAGTTCAATTCCCAGAGTCAGTAGAAAAGAGCCAGTTATGGTGGTGTACACTTGTAATTCAGTGTTAGGGAGGCAGACACAGGTGACTCCTTAGGACTTGCTGGCCAGCCAGCCTAGCCTCTTTGTGAGCCCTGGGACAGGGAGAGTCCCCGCCTCAAAAAAAAAAAAAAAACCAGTATGGAGAGTTCTGACTAATGACACCAAAAATTGATCTTTGTCGTATGCGCGCACACATGACACACACACACGCACACACACACACACACACACACACACACACACACAATGCACACACATGCACAGATACAAACATATACACTGTACACATCCATGCACACAAATACACATAGGCATCTTGCATACACAGACACACACACGTGTAGAAACACACAGACACAAATTCAAATGAAAGCCCAGAGTTTAACCTTACAGCTCTGTTACTGCAGGTTCTAAAGTGGACTTAGTGGGCTGAAATCGTGCGTCAGTTGGCTGTGTTCTTTCCGGGTCTCGAGGAGATGTATATTTCCTTGCTTCTTCAAACTTGGAGATCCTGCCTGCATCTTGAACGTGGCCTTCCACCCATCCCCAGCATCACCACTCCTATCACTGACCCCAGCTCCCCGTATCCAAGCTCCATCTCTGACTCTCTTGTCGGCTTCTGCACTGTAAGGACCCGTGAGACTGCCTCGGCCCCTCTGCAAGGACCCTGTCCCTCTCTCAGAATCCTTCCCTTCGTTGTGCCTGTAAGGTCCCCTTTCCATACCTACAGGCTCTGGGGAAGGAAACACAGATCCTTACAGGTCATTATCCTGCCTCACCACACTCACCTTGGAGCATACGTTCTTGTTGAGCACCTACTCGTTTTCCAGGTGCGGTACTTTACCCTGAGATTCTCAGGGGCCTCACAGGCTGGTGTTGAAATAAGCGGGTAAGCAAAGAAGCAAACTGAAGCATTTGAGATGCCGAGGTGGGAGTCTGTACAGAGAAAAAGAGGAACAAAACAAAGAAAGAGAAAGTCCCAAGTAAAGGAGGTCAAAGCACAAAGCGGGCGGATGGCAGACAGAGGCTGTGGCAGGGGGCTCAGCGTTATTTCAGCTTAGAGCATGTAGATACTTATATAGGAGGTGTTGAGTCAGGGGTGAGTTTCTCTGCTAAAATAATCTAAGGAGAAAGGAAGAAAGCTGGCCAGGGAGCAAAATATATGTCGTAGTAGAGAGGTTGCATTTTATTTAGTAAGCCATAGAGGAAAGATGATGTGCTGTGGTTAGATTTCTCGTTGACACAAGCAGACCAACGGACGGACAGTTCTTAAAAGATGAAATACAAATGGAAACAAATACATGAGCATGTTTTCAACGTCACCAGACTGCAGAGGAATGCAAATTAAAACTACACTGAGATCCATCTCACCACAGTCAGAGTGAGTCACTAAGAAAACACATATCAACAAATGTTGGTAAAGCTGCAACCACCGTGGCAGGCAGGACGGAGGCGCCTTGATGTTCCAAATGGCCCCGCTATACACTCCTGAGTACTTACCCAAAGGGCTCTGCATCACCATGTCACAGAGACCCCTGCACATCCAAGTTTACTGCAACACTAAGCACAAAAATGGAACCGACTAGTGTTCATCGATAAGGGAATGAGTAAAGAAAAAATGAAGACACATCTTGGAATTTTATTCAGCTGTGAAGAATGAAATTATACCATTTATAGGGAAATGGATGCAACTGGAGAGAGTCATAGTAAGAAATTTCTCTCTCATTTCTAGGTCCTAGAATTGGTGTAGACACGCACAGACAATCACATATGTGTGTATGACATGAAAGTACATGCAGAATGGTCTGGGAGAAAGAAAGAGATGGACAGGGGAGTGGAGAAAAAAGGGGAAGGGTGAGGATTACGGAGAAGTATGGTATAAATAAATAATGTACTTGTATATATATAATGAAGACATGGCAATTAAATAATGGAGATTTCTAATTAACGGTGTAATATGAATTGTAGTGAATGCCCAAGGAGATCCAAGCTTATTCACCCATCCATTCTATCATTCTTCTAGCTGTTCATGTATTCTCTTACTCATCATTGATGGGGAGGTCCTTCTGTGTATATGATTGTCTTATTGGTTAATAAATAAAGTACTGTTGGCCAATAGGAAAACAAGATAGGTGGGGCTAGGAGTCAAGGAGGATTCTGGGAAAGGTAGGAGAAAGCGCAGAGTCACCACGTTATCCCGGGAAGACAGGATGCTTCTGCTGGCATCCAATAAGATAAGTTTTATAAAATATATAGATTTATGATAATTAAGACTGAGCTAGCAGATGAGAAATCCTAGTCACTGGCCAAGCAGCATTTGTACAAAATATAAGTCTCTGTGTGTGACTTGGGACCTTAATGTGGTGGCGGGCGGAACTTGGGCGACCTGGTGGAAAGCACCCACGTGGCAGCAGGGCTCGGGTGGCTTGGTGGAAAGACTTATTGTTACACATCATCTCTACATTCCAACAATCATCTAGTTGTTCACTGATATGTGCGTGCAAACCACATCCCATACATTTGCTAGGTCGTCTCTCTCCATTCTTTGATTCATAATCCAGTCATTGCCCAGGTGCACAGTCATCCATCTATCCGCCTACGCATCCACTCTTTATTTTGTCGTTCATATGCCCCCCATTGTACATCTGTATCATCCGTTCTCACTCATCCAATCCCACCTTAGTAGTGACGAGAGCATAAACAAAAGTACTGTGCTGTTTGTCTCAGAAAGGCAGAGCACATACAGTTATATGCAGTTTATAACAGTTGATAGTTATATTATCAAGTGTGTTATTAGTTGTGCTGGTTACTTCTCGTTGCTCTGACCAAATACCCAAGAGAAAAGCAACTGAAAGGAAGAAAGTTATACCTAGGCTCGTTGCCGTGACCTGCACAGCTTAGGGAGTGACTGCATCTAAGAACAAAGCCAGGCACACAGTCTGTACCTTTAAAATATTGATTGTTATTATACACATTATAGAATCATCTATGTGCCGGGCTGTGCGCTGTGTCTCCAGGACACAAACCTGAAGGACTCATGCGACGTCATGAGGAAAGCATGTTATACTGCATGCTTATCCATCTTGAGCCTCTGGGCAGACAAAGGGCAGAAGGGACCGGTTCTTACTGGCAGTGAGATTGCCATTCCCATCAGGCCAAGGAGGAGGCAGTCTTGCAGAAGATATGGGAACAACATTAAAAATAGAGAAGAGAGAGGTTAAAGACTCAGCAGAGAGCGGGCATACAGTGTGAGAATGCTGAGCTGTGGGGTATAGTGAGGGCTGTTGTGCAATATTTGATCTCACTCTGACACTCCCGAGGCTTCCAATAAAGTTTACTTTGAATCAGAAGGTGGAGCTAGCTACTAGCTGACCAAAATTAGCCATAGAGGTTTTGGAGGACAGAGGACCAACAGGAGGTAGTAGGGTGGGGCTTAGACAGACTGGATTAAGGAGAGAGGGGTGGGGTCACTGGTTGCTTCTCCTTCACTTCTCTCATCATTCAGGTTCTTACCCCGATATCTGACTCTTGAGTTATTATTGATAATAAGATTATTAGATAAACGCTTCAGACGGCAAGATGAGAAAGAGGGATGGCACGAGGCGCAGACACTGTAGCAAGAGGTATGCTGTGGGCCTATTCGGGGTCCTTGACATGGCTGTGCTTGTGTCAAAGAATGCACATTTGCTCAGGCCAGAATTTCATACACACCCTATAGCTCATGATTGCAGAGGTTTTGACTCATGGTCGGCTCACTGCATTGTTCTTTGCTAATTGTTTGTTTAAGACAAGGCAGAATCATCATGGTTGGGGGGGGTTGCAGCGGTGCTGCTCACCATGTGGCAGCCAGGAAGCAGGAAGTGCAGTCGTGAGCTTGTGCTAGTGGGCTTCTTCCTCTTTCCAACTGGGCTTCTTCCTCTTTCCAACTTGGTTGCATCTGGTCCCTAGCCTGTAGGCTGGTGCTGTCTGTGTTCCTGGGGTCCATCTCTCTTGCTGTCCTGCATGCCAATCACCTCAGAAAATGTCTTTTCGTACACATCCTGAAGCACGTCTTACTGATCTTTTGGGAATTTCTCAATCCAATCAAGTTGACGTCACCCTGGTTTATATAGTCACTGTACCACAGTTTTCATCCTTGTGTCAGAGCACATGGTTTTGGGTTATTTTTAAAGTGCACTGAACATCTCATGTTTACAGCATCTCTTTGATTACATCATGTGGTCATAATGAAGGGACCAGCTTCCCTTTCGGCAGCCATAACAGCCAAACAC